TAATAAAAAAAAATTAAATTTAATATATATATATTTAATATATTTTTATTATGTATGTACATTTATTTATTTTCTAACTAATAAAAATTATAAACTTTTCATGTGTAATATATTTATTTATATATAAACATTATATGCATACACATATATGCAATAATTATTGCACTTCCTTTGTTCTATAAATAATCTCAATTACAATCAAACGATAAACTGCGTTGCCGTCGCGTAATCGATTTAAATTACTTACACTTTAAAAATTTAGTTATAAATTATCTACGTTATCATAATTAAAATATATATTTACTCTTTGTGTAGGATATTGTCCAAAAAGATCAGGATGAACAGTAAAATAAAAAGGTCGGAGTGCAGTGGATATTTCACCTGTACTTAAAGCTCTTACTGCATTTTTTCTGCAAAAACTGTAAGAAAATAATTATTAAATTGTTTTAAATTATAAAAAATAATATAATTTAATTATATTTTGAGAATTTTACAATGTATATTTGTTTACCATCTTCCTAATGCACAATACATTTTTGTAATCTACTATATCATCACACGTTCATATCACGTTAAGATTTACAAGTTGAAATACGATAAATATATTCATTATTCATTACTTTAACTAAATATACTACATTTACAAATAAATCTGTCCAATATTAGTCGTAGAATATGATCTTTTAGATATATAATAAAAATAAAAACTACTGACATATACTTTTCCGTATAAGTATCTTTACATCGCGTCAGTATGCAAACTCGAATAACATTGGACTTGAACCTCTTCTTTTTGTCTAATCAATGGTGCGATCTATAGAGTATAAGAATACATGACATATATTGAAATGATCATCATATGTGTGATGATTAGTAAAATTATTATTTATTATGTGCAATGTAAAGATGAGTTTTATTAATAAAAAAAACATTATTAAACTTAAAATTTTCTAGTTCATATATATATATAAATTATAAAAACATATATGTACGATTATATATATGAAAATATAAATATATTTATATTTTATTTTTACATGATACATTGCATAGTTTAACAATATATGTCAGCAGTATCAATACTTTATATACTGCATCAGCTGTTTTTGTTTTTATAGATGTAAACATAGAATGAAAAGAAGAATATTAAGATTAATACAATATTAAGATTAATACTATAGTATTTAGTTATATCTGTGTTTAGTCACAGGTGGTCGAAAATGATATATATGTATATTATATACATAATGTTTCGACATTTTAAAACAATACGATACTGAAAATATTATCAATCATTTAATAGACATGATTCATTAAACATAGTTTTTCGAAAGTTTTTATATGTACTATACAACAAAATATAAATAAATATCATTCTAAATGATACATTCTAAATGAATTATCAAAAGAAAAATTTGTGACAACTTTGTATATAACATATTGTAAGTACAAAATATAAATATGTATAATATTCAATTAATTTTATAATTACTGAAAATTTTATAACAAATTTTTTTACATTCCTTGTGTACTAATTAATTTTTTTATATATTTAGTTTCAGTATGTCATATTCTATCAATAGAAGACCTTTATTAGGAAGTGCATCAGATAGTGAATTTGAAGATGACTTAGAAACTGAAGCTGATGATCCAAATATTTCTATTCCAGATGAAAAACCATTTTTTAAGCAATATGAACCTTATGACAAGTAATAACTTTTGTAGACATTATTGTGAATATATCTTATATATGTGTGTGTGTATGTGTATGCGCGTGTATGTGTATGTGTGTTTTATTACATTTCATTTTAAATTTACATAATTTTAAAAATTATTTTCTTTTTTTTTTTTTTAGATATAATCTTGCATACATTGTTTTTTATGTACTTGGTATAAATACATTAATTCCTTGGAGTTTTTTCATCACAGCTGATGATTATTGGATGTATAAATTTCGAGAAATACATGAAAATTCTTCTAAAAGTATTAATTATACTCATATACAAAACTTGGAAAAAAGAACTGATCTTCAAGCTAGTTTTACATCATATTTAAGTGTAACAAGTGCAGTACCAAATACATTTTTTTTAATTATAAATGCATTTATTAATAAAAGGTAAGTAAATTCTATGATATTAATTATGAAATAAAAAAGAATTAATAATATAATAATATGATATATATAAATAAAATA